AGAGAGAGAGAGAGAAATTCGGTTTCGATCTAAAAGATGAGTAAATTTTACAAAAAATTCAGTCTCAACATAGCTTGAAACAATCAAAAATCGATGACATTTGTTTTGATTCTGCTGATGATTTGTTCCTTTGAAATTAATCACCTTTTAGGTTTTGGAGAGCTTTCCAATGTCCATGTCAATAAACATGACAAAAGATACAAACACATTTCTTCTCTAGCCTTCGATTAATCTTTGTGAAGGAAATGCCACATTTTCACTACTGATATGTTTAATAAAGTTGTAAAATGACAAACTCAATGTGTCACATCCTCAATCCCACTGAAATGAACTGGATCAAATGAGTCCACTTGAAAATGTACAATCCTTGATCTTCAAATTGCTTGTGATTCAATTTTTGCCTCACAACACAGCAAGAAAATAAATAAATAAATACATTGAACAACAATTCGTGACACGAAAAATTCAAATTGATTTACCACTATAAAATATATTTTTGTCGAAAATTCCATTTACTCGCTCATGAAATTCAAAGGGTCCAGTCATCACTTCCTTGCACCTAAGGACTTTACACTACTAATTGTCATTTGTTTCAAATGTATTTTTACTCCAGTAAAAACGTTTTTACATTAGTCCATCCATCTATTTTCTGATCCGCTTCATCCTCACCAGGGTCGTGGGAGTGCTGGAGCCTATCCCAGCTGTCTTCAGGCAGTAGGTGGAGTACACCCTGAACCGGTTGCCAGCCAATTGCAGGGCACACATAGACGAACAACCAAAACTCACACCTAGGGACAATTCAGAGTGTTCCAGTGACCTGCCCTGCATGTTTTTGGTACGTGGGAGGAAACCGGAGTAGCCGTAGAAAATCCACACTGGCACGGGTAGAACATGCAAAGTCTACACAGGAAGGCCGGAGCCGGAATTGAACCCTGCACCTTTGCACTGTGCGGCCGACGTGCTAACCACCAAGCCGCCCACGGCCGAATACTGCAAACCAAAAAATGCTGCTGCTGCTGCTGCAAAAAAAAAAAAAAGAGAAACACGCATGCGAATAAAAAACACGCAAAACAAGAGCAAAACAAAAACTCTCCAAGTACGAAATGCTACAAACAGCCAAACGCTGCAAACACAGGAATGATGCAAATGGAAAACATAAACACATAAATGGAGACAAAACACAAATGCAAGAAAGAAATGCTGCAATCACAGCAACAATGTGGAAGCAAACGCTACGAATCAGAAAACAAATCAAAAAAAAAAATGGCTGGCGAGCACTTTGGGGTGTACCCTGGCTCTCGCCCAAAAACAAGCACGCCCGCAACCCTCGTGAGGACAGGCAGTTCGGAAGATGAATGAATGAATGTGCATAACTGATATTTGCCTTGTGTTTTTTGAAATGATGTATTGCAACAACTTCCTGTGCCTTTTAATTCACTCAGCTGTCTGTTTTTATTCGTGTGGTTATGTTCACGTCATATTTTAACGCAAGCATATAGGCTACAAATATGACATATAGCAGTAATAGTTTCCATTTTTCTTCATTATAATCGCAATGCTAGCATTCTTTTGCAGCTTTTGAAAGAGATCAAAGAAAACCTTTTATTGACCGTGATGTCTGCAATGGTAGAACGCCGCCACACCATCAAAAAAAAAAAAAAAAAAAAACGCCCTTGTGAATGCTAATCAATAAACATCTCACCCTGCTGCACAAGATGTCGTCAAACATGTTGTCGGCTGCCTCATGCTGGAGTGTCACTCAAGGAGACACACTCAGGAATACATCAGTAATGATGATGAGAAATTTGAAGAGCAGGTATTTTAAATGAGTTCGGCATTCGTGTGGGTTTGAAAAGGGAATGGAAATACGCCAAATGTACACCGCCTGAGTGCATCATAAAGTACTTGAAAGCGCTCCTCCCGAGGGAACTCAGTCTTCCGCTGCGTCTGATCCATCCCGTATCATATCACGATTGCACTTTGTTGTTCAAAATGATCCATCCATCCATCGTCTTGCACGCCACTCATCCCATGCGAGCTTGCTCTAAACCTCAAGACGATCACATTCACACCGTTACCGAGTGGGAGCCAGATCCACGCTGCCTGCACCAAATTCAGGGAAATGTACCACGACACTATCAGTGCCTATCATACCATTATTGTTGTTTAACCCTTTCATGCACGCTGTAACCTGATAGATAACATGATGTCCACTGTAGTAACCGCTGTCCATGAAAGGGTTCGATTGGCCAAGAGGGATGGGCCATCCCGGACTGGTCGTACCTATGGCCATCGTTTAGACTTTTTGAACTCCCATGAATGTTTTTGGAATATGGTAAGAAACTGGAGTACCTGGAAAAAAAATGCACAAAAGCACGGAGAGAACATGCAAACTCCACAAATGAGCTAGGCGTCAAACCTACAACCACTCAACTTGGGGAGAGGTCATCTACGACGCTGCCAATAATAAAAATAACAGTTTGCCCGAATGTAAAATATATTTTGGCCTTTGTACTGTATAACAGTTCCTGTTTTATTTCTGTTTTCAGGTGTGCATGTCAATGAATAAAATACAACTGACTGTATGACCTCCATGTCAGAGGCTGAACACACCTTCCAGCGCAACAGCAGAAGCGCAAAGTGGGCTCGGAGGTAGCAAGATGTCGACGGGAAGACAAGACAGCAGGAATGGCAGCCCAAAGTCCTTCCTACCTGATTTCTTCCTCTGCCGTTCGCAGGAAGAAGTCCCACTCAACATCCCAGATCAGCACCACCCCAAGCGTGGATGGGGCCGGTCCTGTACTTCCAAGCCTGCAGAGTTGTGTCCACGCGGCAGCAGAAGCAGCAGGAGAGTAGCAACATCCCTCACCTCATCCTCCTCCACTCTGAATGCGAGAAGACTTTTTTTTTTCACCCGCTCTTGCTGAAGCCCTGCCCCTCTCTCTCCCTCTGTCTCTCTCTCTTTCTCTCTGTTGTGTGCTTTTCGCTCTCTTCCCTCTTTCTGTTTCCTCACGTTTAGCACCTGATTGGCCTGTTTGCTTGTGAGCAACTTCTTTTTTTTTTATTCCCCACGTTTCTTCAGCGAAAATAAACAAATTGGTGACCGCCCGCCAAAAAAAATCATTAAAAAAATAGAATCATCATTCTTTTCTGTTATATATTCATATCTGTTATAATCGCCTCCGTCATGAGATTTGAACAAAATGGATTTGCAAGGTGACCTTATGTAATTCAATCAGGTTAATTTGATGTGTTCACATGAGAAGGTAAATTATATCATGAAATAAAGACACTCAATAAAAATGGCAGTAAAATAAAACGAAGATGTCAATGAGGGATAGGGGATTGGGGGGTTACGCATGGATGCATAGTCGTGGGTGCAAGACAGCGCCCAATTGCCCACGTCGCATGCGCTGTTTCCGTAATGTCAAGCCTACGTGTGCTCCAAACATTCTTATTTTAATGCAAATAAGGCATACCCGTACCTTTGGCCGGGAATATGCTACATTCCATCCCACAAAGGCGCACAGTGGCTCCAACACCCCATTACACCCAATGCTACCTGTGCAAAGTCTAGAAAAATACCAAAAGAAAGAAAATGGCACTCATGGGTACGGTTAGACTACGCTTTGAACTAGACTTTTGCTGGAAAAAAAACATCGGGTGTGTTATAGTAATGGATTAGGGTTATGTTTTGGGGTTTAGGGTAGGAGTTGGATTGACTTCTTTACAGTTGTTGAACTGTCAACTAAGATAGCGTTTAGCAGCCAACAAGACCACCGGTGGCCAGATTGATGACCGATGTCCCAAATTTATTTATTTATTTATTGGGTGGGAGGAGCCTTTCCTTTTCTCTGTTCGAAGCAACCCCACTGTATTCACCCCCGCGCACAAACAACCCGGTTATGTCAAGTTCCGGTGACAGATTAAAACCCACTTAGATCGATGCTTCATACATCAATTTTTTTCAAAATTTCCCATCATTTGTCACTTGCCAGTAAAACGGCATCTGTCAGTGACGGTTTGACGGACCTTTATTGGGTGGGAGGAGCCTTTCCTTTTCTCTGTTCAAAGCAACCCCGCTGTATTCACCCCCGCGCACAAACAACCCGGTTAAGGATGATTCCGGTGACAGATTAAAACCCACTTAGATCGATGCTTCATACATCAATTTTTTTCAAAATTTCCCATCATTTGTCACTTGCCAGTAAAACGGCATCTGTCAGTGACGGTTTGACGGACCTTCTGTCTGACAGAAAGCCCACCTCCGCTAATGATAAACCATACTATTGGCTCTTGACGGCTCTGAGCTGTTGAGTTGGTTTGGGGGGTTAGAGTTTAATTAATTTTAGATGTATAGAACCTTTGTGTTCTCAAGCACACACACACACACACACACACACACACACACACACACACACACACACACACACACACACACACACACACACACACCAAATGCTCAGTGTGTCAGCCGCCAGGAAAGGTGTCACTGCAACGTGTCGGCCTGTTGTTGCCCTGCTGGTTATTTCTGTCGTGACATCATTGCTGCATGAAGCCAGACCTGCCCGCTTGCCCATTTCTAGCAGTCATTCAACGCGCTCACACACAGACACCCATGCTCACAAACTAATGTAGTGCTACCCATTTCTAGCAGCCATTCAACGCGCTCACACACAGACACACACACAGACACACATGCTCACAAACTAATGTAGTGCTAATGCACATCTTTCTGGAAGCTTTTTGTCTCCTTTTCCAGACGTCAGCCTCATTTCCCACTTATTGCTGTTGCAATGCAAAACAAGCCACATCCCCAGAGGACAGAGTAAAAGCTTGAATTATTGTCTTTGTATCACTCCTCATTTTCAGCAGCATCCTGTCCTTTTTCTTTTTTTTAGTCCACACTCGATTCAGGTCTGGAGAACGAAACCCCTAAAAAATTGTCTTGATTTTCAAGCAGCGAGTAGAGTTAGAGATGAGGGTTAAAACTCTACCCTATTTTAAATAGTAAATTGAAACGCTAATCCTTGTTCGAAATAAACTGCTTTAAAACCCCATCATGGATTGAAATCTTCATTCGAAACTCGAGACCTGACTTGCAACTCTACCCCAGTTATATATTGTTGCTGACGTTTCACTATTACTAGAATGTATTATTATTGCAGACAGATTTGAATTGTACAACTTCACTTCATCTCCATGACTTAACAGCCCACGCAGAAAATGTGCGACGCCTGCACACTCACAAAAGAAAAATCATGATGACAAAACAGGAAGTGTAAGGCAGTCATAAGGACACGTGTGGTTTGACAGTTGAACAAAGGTATCTTTAAACTAAGAATAACTAGCAAACATTAAAAAAACAACAACAAAAGGTTTATCATTGTAGGTTAAGCTCATATTGTACACATGGTTCTGCTTTTCAATTTCTCAATACGTTCATTAGCAGCAACACTTCACACACGCATACCTTGCTTATCTTTTTGTCTTATCATCAGTCAGTGAGGATTTGACCGTGTGAAAATAACGTTTCTCTTCGAACATCACTGCTAATCTCGCCATCAACGTTGCTGAGTAATGCAGAAAATTCTTTCGTTTTCTGATTATTTAGTTGTTTTGGGGAAAAGAGAGGCGCACTTGACAACGGTTGCGGGGTCAGACTACCAGATAAAAAAAAATGCTCTGTCTTCATCACACTAAAAGTCCGTCACTGACTTGAATATGTCGGCTCAAAATCGGGCTACATTTGTATAGTATAAATGTAAGCTGATGTTATCTTATTAATTATCATTTTATGTTTGAGCATCATATTATTTCATGTTAAGATTACCTAAATTGCATTCTGTTATTTAATAATTGCTTCGACATGTTTTTATGTTGATAGATTCTGATTGGCTGTTGAAGTAAGGGAAAGGAGGAAGTGATTTTAGTTGCGAACAGTGTGTTTATTTGAGTGAGTTTATTTGTTTTGCTCTCCCAACTCTGAGCCAGCATGAGAAAATAAATTCCAGCATTACAGGTAATGACTTTTTGAAAAATCTAGCAGCATCTTAATGACAGAAAGTCATATTGACAAAACTAAGCCTAATAATTAAGCCTCTGAAATGTCAAAATCTATGTGTGAAGGGCACTCTGTATATTTAGATACAAATGACGGGCTGCAGCATCTGTGCAATAATAAACTGCATGTGTCTGGCGCGGTAACTTATCTCGCGTGTACTGATAGTGTGCATGCAAATATCTTCCCTGTTGAGGTGCCTTTTCTTCAAAAAACTACCCTTGCCTATGATATTGGAATTCTGTCTCCGTAAATGAAAACAGAGTACCGGTAGATGACGCACCGAGTACTAAATCAACCTAAGGCCCCGGCTGTTCAATATTCCAAAAAAATAATCCCTTTATGTCACTCATTTTCTCTGGCTGTTTTTCATCAATAACATTCTCAGCTTGTTGTTGATAAAGACTTTTGCTAGTTTGCCGCTTGGCCCCAGGCCTGCGTTTTTATTGTAAAAGGTAAAATACGTGAACATTGCACCACACACAGTGGTGGTTCTAATCATGTGAAGCAATTTGAGGTGCATCGTCGTGTATGAAAGACGCTCTTGAAAATAAAAGTTTGATTGATCGCCACTGTGAGCTGTGTAATCTCTGTGATTTTACCGTGATGGAGGTGTTTGTGCGTCCCTATGCAGGGTTGGAAGGGGGTACTTTTAACACAAGGGAAGGCTCATTTTCAAACTGGAGCATCGGAAAAATTACGTACTCCCACAGGAAGACCATTGGAATTGTGCTTGAGCCCGAAGCATATGTAGTCAGAAAAAAAGTTGTCACATAATGAAGGCAATTGCTACTGTCATGAGTTATTCATGATTGCCACCTGGCATGAAAGAAATAAACACAGAAGCTAGAAATAATCCACTGAGTAAAAATTTTAATTCATGACATACTCCGTCAGGCATGTGGGCGTGCAATGTGCGTGTATATTATTCGTGCAATGGCTTCCTCTCACCTGTTATTAATAATACCCATACCTTGCACAACAGAAAGAAACTACATATCTTGGAATAATCTATAGAGTCAAAATGAAAATCTACAGCCTGCTAAACCGTCAAATTCGGGCACATGCACACGTGCAATGTACTTGACATATGGTGAATTGTCTTATTCGTGATAACAGCCACCTCATAAAGTAGAAATAAACACAACAACTTGAAATTACAAGAGAATGCAATTGGCTGAATGTCTGAATTAAATATTGTGGAATAATTTGGAATGATGTTCACTGACATGAAATGATATAAAATGACCTGTAATGAGGTGAACATGTTGAAGTTGGAAGGGTTGGAATCAGTCAAAAAATGTAGAAATTCGGGAAGAAAAACAAAACAAAAAATAATTTTAATTTTTGGCTTTAGTTTTCTAGCAACAGAGTCAAAATAAAAGTCCAAGGCAAAATCAGCGAAGCAAGTCACATACACGTGTTATACAGTATATGTATGATATTAATGATGCAATCAGTCTTCTTGGCATTATTCATGATCACCGCAACCTTGCACAACAGAAAGGGGTGTCAAACTCATTTTTGTCCCGCGCCACTTTGTAGGTCTGGTTTCCGTCAGGGAGCCGCTATGAAAGTGAAACCCTAGAAATGTTTAATCGCCTCCTGATATTATTACTGTACTTGCAGTGATAATTTTACAGTTTGAGCCCTGCGAGCCCCAGGGACTCGCTGATCAGAAAAGTATGAGTCCCATTATGCATTTAGAGAGTCGCAAATTTCGAATTCTGAAATGGTCTACTTATTCAATCGACAATATACATTGATAATTGGTTTATTTCTTATAAACAAATGCTGCAAAAATTGGAATAATTC